TGAAAGAAAGAAGAAACCTGCATCAGAGTGTCCTGTCCGACCAGTGAATGTGGGACTGGATCAGAGTAGCTACCATGTCGGGCTGTTCCGCCGTCAGCGGCCTTAGCATCCGCAATATGAGGCTGCCGGTGGCCAGTGCTCAACGATTTTACTGTCATCGTCGCCACAGAGCGCGTCGTATTCTCCTTTTCCAGTGAACTGCGGAACCTGGCCCGCCTCTCAGCATGAGAGTCCGCTGAACGCACATCCGGCCGTCTTGATTCCGTCAGTGCCTTGACCCTGAAGAAAAGCAGCTTTCTTTCACCTTTGCTAAATTATCCCTTTTGCGCCACTTATTTCTAATTTCTTGCTGCGTTGGGGTATATCTCAAATTTACTACTGTCCCTCTCCACAGGCACCCAACCCCTGCCTTCGCTATCCCAAAAGGTGCGTTGCGCTTTTCCTGTTCAAATTTTTTCGTTGTTCGCATTTTGAGGCAAAATTACCTATTTTTGCTATAAGACTTCCCCAGGTTCTGGACTCATCTTGGTTCCTCACTGAAATAGTAGAATAAGAGATAACGGATTAGTATACATGTTTAGATGCAAATTATATTTCGTTCCTTAGCTAACTGAACGAATTCTGCTCCGCACTGACTCTCTTTGACTTCCCTTATCGCAAAAGCCTGGCTTTCGCAACGGTCAGTTGTTATTCACTTTTAGTTTTGCATTTAAATGTTGGTACATTTGCTATTGAAGATGTTATATTGAGGTCAGTGATCGCACTCACAGTCTCCTAAGCTATGTCGTTGTAAAGGTCAGCGGGCGAGTTGGTAAATCCTTAGCAAAATATTCTCAAATAAGGCAAAAATACTTGAGGAACAGTGAAGGCTCCATGTTGGTATACTGAAATGTACAGAACTTACTGGGAATCTCGGATTAAATTATATGACATAATGAAACGAACGGCGGCGGCGGCGGCGGTGACGATTCGCTGATGGTGCGGCAAGAATGCGCGGTGATTGCAGCAGGCTCATAGAAATCATCAAAGCTGTGTCCATTTTGGCACCAGAAACAGTGTCGCCGAGCGTGCAAGCCAGAATCGCCTGCTCGGCTCTGCCCAATTCCCATGCAACCTCAATCGCACTTGTTACTCCACACAAAAATGACTCGCAATTCATCACAGGAAGCATCCGTGCGCGCTTCATTATCTGGCACAGATTAGTAAACTGAAGGCGCCTTCAACATCTGCTGAGCCGTATGGATTGTTAGAATGCAGGCTTAGGAATTACGAAGCCGTACAGTGACAGAGCGCTAGACCGGAAGGAAGAACTCTGATTTGTTGCTGCGAAAAAGCGAAGTGCCCACTAAATACCGTTCTAGATCCAGGCCATATAGCTAATGTTAATGAAACAAAAAACGTTTATGAAAAGACTTGCATTTGTATACAACTTCACAAAATCGAAAATCGCTTTGGCAAGCCTCCAAAAAGGACAGTGAGGAGGTGAGAGGTATCTGTAAGGTAAAGAGCGGAGAATCCTGAATTACCCGCTTTGAAGGCAACAATCAGATGCACCCAGAATACTAAGGAACTGAGAATTTAGCAAATCCAATCAAACATATGAACCTTACAAGCCTATCACGTTGAATGATGAATGAAGGCGTTGTGTTCCGATACTCGCAAAAAGAAAAATAATTTTGGCATCTTTGTCCCTGCAACTCTCTGCAATCCCCCCTCCCCTTTTTTTCCCGACAGGCACACACACGCATAGAAAACATGATTATTAGCATTAAAATACATAAAAGTTAGTTGCAGTAACTTAGATAAGGATTATTACACACACTTTGATTTGCATGAAACCTACAAACAATTATACGGACTCAGCATGATGCGACAAAATCCGAAATGGTCCTTGCAGGTGTAAAGGTTGAAAAGTTCTGCTCCGGTAATACACTGGCACACACAGTCAGTGACTTCCACCCGAAAATTCGCTTGATTATGCGTATTTGCGAAACGTTGTTGCAGCAGCCAGTAGCTAACGGTTTATAAAGTTCGTCGTGATAACTTCTAATCGATCCAGGAACACACTTTTTGCTTTTCTAGCCGATTTCCCCTTCCTAATTTGGTCTTTTTGCATCCAGTTTGTTGGGGGCTAGCACAATTTAACTTAGTCAGTTTAGCGTCTTCGATAAATAAACAGCTAAGATCTTATCTTGTTACTAAAATGTCCGGAGCTATTTCAAAAAATTTACAGCTGAATGCCATAATTTGCAGCACATCAGTTCGAATCAGAAAAAATAGACCATGGAGTGGCGCTGCCACAGCGCACGTCAGAGAGAATGACGAAGGGGCGCTTCATTTACGCTTGCACCGGATTATGAATGGTGCAAAAATCCAGGAATGCTTCTGGCACGGCTTACATCATCCATCATCCTCTCGCTACGCTATTTTTATCTTTATTTGTACAGACTGTATTTGTAACGAAAATAAATGGCTAGCTAGGGCACGCGAAGCCTCTACACCGATTTGTGTTAGTTATTTGCTGAACAGACATTTTTAGGAATAACATCATCAACAGGCTAATACTAAAGGCACACTGCTATCCCCGGCACATTCTCCAACAAATGACAACATCGCTCTCGAAAACGAAAATATTTGGTCGCATCTTGTGGATGTGACGTAGTGGGAAGCAGTAAATCGTGGGCTCTACTCCGCCAATAGGATAAGCGGTCCTTTTGCCATCCGTTCATTCGTTTTGATAGTTAATTGCTAATTGCATACGCTAGGGAGTCAAGCTCGCCATCAATCTGCTTGTACGTAGTCGTCGAGAAAGAGTAAGCTTGCGAGCTGTACATGGTACTTGCTAGCGCTCGAACTACTTCCCATGTTCCTCCGCCATTTTGATAGAGAGCAAATGCGGCCGAGGTTTTGACGTTTAATTACGATTTTTTTGTGGCGGTGCCTCAGTTTCTATAGCTACTGACCTAAACAGGGTTAATAAAAGCTGCTTTGGATAAAAGTGGTAGCAAAACATCTTTGATTTTGGTAATGGGCAGCACGTAAATGGCGGCCTCCAACAGAAGATAACGTGAAACTGAGTACGCTGCTGCGGTTATCAAGAGCAGCTTCACTGCGTAAACGCACCAAGCAGCGTTATTGCGCGTTAAGTATACGTAATTCTAAAAACGGAATCATTTGAAGTGCCCTGTGGTATTCGACGCTTCGGCTAATAGTCGTGCGAAAAGGAATGGCGTACATTGTTCGCTACTAAATTTTGTGCAACTCCCTATTTTTTCCACAGTTTTCAGTAATCCACTAATGCCTTGGATGCTTCCGAGTCTTATTTCGCTTTAGAACAGTTAATAAAGTCTATCTCTCGAGCGGCCTTGGCACAGGATGCAAAAGAGAGTAGATTCCGGATGCGTTGGTTGGTATATATGCAGCATATTCCTCTGTATGGAAGGGTACAAACCACGAAAAAAAACCTGGAGGCAGGAGGCTAAGAGGCTAGGGACTGCTGAAATGCAGACAAATCAGGCAGCACTGCCACGAAAAACCCGCGTCAAGCATGGAGCACAACGGCCAGTCTTGTAATGGTAGCACGTCGCTCCGGATGTGAAAAATGGTACGATTCCTTCCCGTTCTGCAACCATTTTTGAGAAACGGATCCATCTAAGACAAACACCTTAACCACTTCAGTAGTTGCAGGTACATTTAGTTGCAAATACCTTTTTACTTTAGCAGCTCGCCCAAATTTACGCGGACCAATATGCATCAGCATTAACCGTTTAGCTGTCCTCAGCTGATAAGATCGAGAGACCCACGAGAGCACGTAGTTAGCGTGGTACTTTGAGCACCTAGAATTGCACAGTTGTGCACAATGAAGCAGTAGTACACAGCCGCTTCAGTTCTTTTTAATCTTTAGTACATTCATGTAAATCTATGTTGGCGCAATAGCAGGTCCCTTCAGCTCCCTGGCGAAATCCCTAGTTCAGCAAATGTAGTGAGAGTAGCGATGCGCTTAACGGATAATGAAATATAAGCATCTTGCATTCGCAGTACGGTATACATGAAGAGAATTCGTGGGTGTTCTTTTAATGAGGTCTTTTTTATGGTCGGCAGATCAGGCGAAGGGCTTGTTTGTGGTTTGCAGTCCTGAAAGGAAGGGGAGGGGTGTGGTAAAAGGACTTCGGGAAAAAGGGAGGCTGTGTATGTGCGGCTGCAGCTCATGTGAGAACAAATTTGTCATCTCTTCCAAAGAATCTTGTATGAGACATATACGGGCGTTCCTCACATGTTGAAGTTGTGATCATAAATTGCATCTGATTTTTACAAATTTGTTAGCAAAACTTTTCACTAAAGGGAAGGTTTAGCCTTTACAGCTTTGCACAGAGTCTGCTGTGGCATCCAGAAACAGGGCCACAGCACTGAAGCGAACTGCAAAGGATAAGTTCCTAAAGATTTCATTTTGAAGCGAAAAAACAAGTGCTGACTGTCCAAAAAACTCCAATGCAATCGCAGCATTAGGCTGAATGGTGCATTTTAGGCCTGTTCCCAGTACAAACTTTATCAAGGCCCTTTCTAATCAGAATTAGTAGCTCGCAGGACAAAGTAGACAATCATTCGTTATTACGCAAAATAGATTCAGAAATACGAAATGGGTAAAAGACCTCGTCTCCTCCCCGCATTAAAGTCAAAAAAGTGCAATTTAAGCATTATTTAATTATCACATGTAAAAGTGTAGATGGTTTATAGAAACTGGTCGTACTGCTGCTTAAGACGAGCAGTCCCGGTTTGGTCGGATAGCAGTTTTCGGTAAAACAAGTAAATTTCAATAACACTGGAGGATTTTGATGTCTGTACGAGTGATCTAATCCGCATGAGAGTATGCGACAACTCCCGCGCTCTTTCATCATCTTTCCTTCCCTCATTCTCGTTAGAATAATGTCAATTAAATACCGGCAACTATAATTACACGCAAAAAAAAAGCAAAAGACGCATGAAAAGCGGTCGTTGTGCTGTGCGCTGCCATACACTGCTAAAATAACGACACAAATTCGGCTCCGAATCAATCGAAAAGCAAACTCGTCCCATCACACGCACTGTATAAACGCCCGTGTATGTGTGCTTGTACGCATGTTTGTGCGTATGTGTACATGTGCGAATGTATCCGAGTATGTGTGTCTATGTGTGTATGCATGAGTAATGTGCGCGTGTTTGTGCATGTATGTTGGCGAATGTAATGTACGCGATGGCGCATGTCACCTTATACCACATCATTCTTCAGCTTCTACTGGAAAACACCAGAAGGGGTCCAGAACTGCGCATGTTTGAATTTCTTCAGTTTTGCTGAGTTTTAATTATGCGTTTTTGCATACATGCAAATGCGAAAACGCGTATTGCGACGACCCCGGTGTGTGTGTGTGTCTGTCGGTTATTTCAACTCGGCACCCAAGCAAGCTCCAGCGCCAATTTTTGCGACTAGGTTCCCTGGCCAAGTACCATTCAGGGCCGCGGTATCACTCCTTACTCATTTCTATGCTCCGTGTACGAACGCGTGAAAGTTTTTGCGGGAAAGTCGCTAACTCAACAATCAGAAAAGCTAAAAAGTTGAAATTTTGGTTATTTCCCCCATCCGCATAGAAATCAAAGATTTCAAATTCAGCCCCGAGGTGAGCGTAGTTTTTGCGTACGGCCCGTGAGGGTTCCTGGCAGGAAAATTGCTAACTTAGGATGCAGGAAAGACGGGAGGCTGAAGTTTTAAGGAGCTATTTCCAGCCCATGTACAACTTAAAGTTATTAAATCCAGCCCCCGGACATACTTGGTTCTCAAGTACGACCCCGTGAAAACTTTTGGCAGGAAAATTTTTAACTCGGGATCCAGGGAAACTGGGATGCTGAAATTTTTAGAGAATGTTCCAAACTCATGTACAACTTAAATTTATTAAATTTAACCCCTAGTGATAACGTAGTTATCACGTGCGATCGCATGAAAGTTCTTGACGGGAATATGGGTAACATGGGAAATGGGAAAGTTAGGAGACTGAGATTTTAAGGGAATGTTCCCAGCCCATTTACAACTTTAGTTTATCAAATTCAGCCGCCAGTTATGCGTGGTTGTCACGTACGGCCTCGTGAAAATTTTTGGCGAGAATATGGGTAAATCGGGAACTGGAAAAGCGGAAAAGCTGAAATTTTTAAAGAATG